TTCTGACGAGCTGCACTTCCGTGTTTCATATGAAATCGGCTGATCCTCCATTCACGGATCATTATCAACTAATTATACATACGTTCATGAATTGTGTTTTTATTTTTTTATATTAGACAAAATAAGTATATCAGCTGTTAAGAATATGGTTATCTGGCTTGAATGATTACAATCCGATATTTCTTCGCATATTCATTTAAACGCATATGTCTCGAAGGAGTAAAGGAATTCCTAATAATTAAGTATTAATGAGTTGATTTTTCTCAAAATCAACAAATCGCAAAATCAACTCATATTTAGATATTTTAATCCTAACTAACCATAACCAATCTTGAAGTTTAAAGTTAAGTCCCTTGAGAGAACAGTTCACCTGCACAAAACGTCCCGATAGTTACAATTGTTCTGGTTTGCTCCCAGGTAAAAAGATAAGCGATCTATTAATAGTAACTTTTGTTATTTTATAAGAATTTTGTATTGAAATTTTGTTTATAATACATGAATAGAAGATATTTTATTAAAAAAAGGGATATTTTATAAAAGAGATATTTTATAAAAAAAAGGTTTGCGTTCATTTTTATTTTATAGATAAAGCGTTCGATAAAAGTCTTGTATAATTATAGCACGGCACTGCTGAGCCTCTCATTCATTAGGAAATAAATTGCGTAAAATTGCGGAATACATACGTACACGCAAGTGCAGTTTATTGAAATCTTGTTGCTCGCAAAAGCTTTCGTGCCTTCGCCGTAATTCGGCGTGTACGAGAATTATCGCGCAGAATCTCCTTACGGTGCACGACACGGCTGCCGCTTAATCGATTCAAAAGCGGGACGGGGCGGCTCGCTCCTAAAAAGCATTTCGCAGGGTAGGTTGGCTGGACGCGGGTGATACAAATCGATCGCCACAGCATATAAACGACGACGATATCGACAAATTGGTGGGCCGGGCACACGAATGGATATATTCCGTGAAGTTTGTTAGTCCCTCGCGCCCAATCTGTCACGCATCGCCACGAGAGACGTTTCTCTGTATGTTCGTATGCGTGTATTAAAGTGTGTATGTGTATACACGCGGTATAACTCTTCGAGGTTATGTATGTATGTAGGTATGTACTTACATACCTATGTATACATCTTTCTTACACATCACTTCCGTCTATCTATCTCGCTCCGATTCTTATGTCGCTCTTCATCTTTCGTCTACATTGCTCTCTTACCCTCGTTCTGTAACTTCTTCTTCAGTTTCCACACCCCTTTCCCACTCTTCGAAAACCGGTTGCCGTATTTATTTCAAGTCGAGTTCGGAGAGTAGCAGCAAAGTGGAGGAAGCGTCGACAAGAAAAACACAAGGAGCTGGGTGGAGCGAAGAAAAACGGGAGAGAAGGGTCTTTCTTTCTTCCGATGAATAAGGGAGTTCTAATCCGGCACGTGAGAAGGGAGAACAAGGGGAGTAGAAAATGGGCGCGTATAGGTGTTAAATCGAAAAGAGAGAGGTTGACGATGGGCGAGGACACGTGGAAGGAAGAAAAAGTGGGCAATAGAAAGTGAAGATGAACGTATTTTATCTCGTACCTGTGTGTTCCTCTAATTAAGGCGAGCTAACTTATCGGCTTTTACCACGTGAAGATAGTCTCACGGAAGTTAATAGTAGCTAATTTTCTTGTGTCAGTAATCCATTCTTATCTGCAGATCTTTTTAAAGGAAAGTAAATCTTTTTTTTCTTTAAGATATACGTTATAAAGATGTTTAGATATTTTCGTAATTTTTTTTTAAAGCAGATGCGTAAATGTCTTTATCCCAAATTTTCCAATCCGTAAATTAAAAGTTGATAGTATCTAATTTTCTTGTGTTAGTAATCCATCTTATTCTTATCTGCGGATATTTATCTTTAAAAAAAAATTACGGAATCTTTAAAATATATGTTATAAAGATTTATAGAATATTTCCGTAATTTTTTTTTGTAAAATGGACATTGTAGATGTCTTTGTCCAAATTTTGTCGATCTATAAATTAAAATTGTTCTACAGAAAAGTTAAAATATAATGAAGATGAATGTATCACAGAGATGTGAGAAATGACAACACATCAAAGGCTAATGTTTAAAGAAAACGGATGCGCGCTGTCGTGCGTGGCTTATGGCCGGCGATAGACGTTTAGATAACGATCTCAATTTGCGCGGCGCAAGAATGAATAGTGGATTAGCCAAGTATCTAATTACAATCTCAATGGAGATTCTCTCTTTCGATAGAGATCGACGGTCGACGCGTCCGTCGGTTTTCGCACGAGATGAGACGCCGCGAGAGCAAGGAGAGATGAAATGAGCGAGCGAAAGGGTAGATGGCGAAAAAGTCTGGGGCACGAGAAGGCAACCTAATTAAGTCTACGAGATGTCTCACTGAGATCTCGCTGATGAAGACGTTTGTCCGACGCATTTCGAGCGCGGAACTTTCGGCTGATTTCATGGAAAAGGAAACGAACGAGCGAGCAAACGCGCTCGTCGCGTTTATGCTTCTCTTTTTCCGTTTATGCGACAATTTTCCCACCGTGTTTGCGAATATTCCTTGAGAAAAGGAAAGAGAGACAGAGAGAAAGAGATAGAGAGGAAGTTAGGAACTTCAGTGGAAATATGATGCGGGCGCGTCAGGCGTATAAGCAGAGCGAATGGAATGGTTCCGGACGAATTATCGTAATAGTCGCACCCCGAAAAGCGACTTTTAATTCCGCATACGGGCGGACTGTCGTCAGTTGGAATTTATCTCGCTTTATGCTTGGCGTACGGTCCGTAGAGTCTTACTTCTGCGAAACGTGATAAAAATGTCTGTTCGCGCGTCAGAGATTGCTCGAAGAACTGGAAAGTTTCGTCCGCAATCCCATTTCGCCATTGCATTTCCTCGTACTTTAACTCTACAATGTTCGCGAATCCCTATATCTATAAATACACTACCAAACTCTATTGATTACAAGAGAGTAAAGAGTGAAACTTAGATACGTACAAAATACAGTAAAAAAAGAAGTACCTACGTAAAAATCCGATAGCTAACTGTTATTTGAAGCAATAAGTGTATTTTAAACTTAGAAAATTATTTATATATATCGTAGTGTTGCTAAAAAAGTGATAAATTTCAAAGTTAGCAACTTTTCAGTAAAGCATTTTCAAAAATTTTCCTTAATATTAAAACAATGTTTTAATTAGAACAGAATAGAATATGTATAATTTTACTTTTTTCCATATTTCAAGTATAATATATTCTTTAAAACTATGTCATGAGAGTTTTAAAAATTCGAATACTGCAACTCTAGTAGGTAGATATATCTAGAATAGAATTATGTAAATTTCATCTATTTTATAAAGTTGTAACTTTTTTATAAGTAATATCAACAAATGTGCTGTTTTTTCACAGAAATATTTTAGTCTTTAGAGACAATTTCCTTTCATTATCTCAAAAACATTAATTTTTTACTTGTATCAATTTTCTATCAAGACAGCAATATATTCAGACGAACAGTTAAAAACAGTTCCCATAAAACGCTCATTATTCCCGTTATTCAAATAAATCTTTCAGATGAACATAAATCCGCTTTCAGAAGAAGAAAACGTGCGCATTTTGATTCGAGAGCGAAGTGATAAAGGAAATGGTTCATCGAAGGACAAGCCGACCGCTGCATTTCGGTAGATAACAAGAAGACACGCCGATCATTCGTAAAGCTGTCAGTCGAGCGATATATCAGTATCCTTTTTACTCGTTACCGTGACGCACCCTCTTTCCAGCTATTCGAGCATCCACAACGACGACTGCAAGTTGTGGAGAAAACTCAGTGATATTCTCCGATGCAAGTATACA